TTCTTAAGTTAGTTGTAGGTTTGTGCCACATTATAGAATAAATATCTTCCCTAGAATAGGATTAATTTTTATTCTTTTACTACAACCAAAGAAGCCTAAGTTTCAGGACAACAAGGGACCTGGAAACTAGTCAAAGCATTTTCTATTGCTGTTTACTCTTAATTCCAAACCATTTACTCTTTATTACAAAACATCATCACATGTCTTCTATGTGTGTGATTTCTTTTTTTTTTTTTTGCTTCAAAGTGTCAAGCAGATTTGGAGCTGATGCCCACCCTGTGTAGACAGTGGACATGGAAGTTTTTTTTGCTATGCATGCATCTGCTTCAAAAGATAAAGGCATTTTAAAACTATGAAAGAGCAGGCATAAATGATAGGGATGACCCACAATTAATGCAACCAACTCCTTTGAGACAACTTCCATAAGCGTGCCCTTTTCTTCCGTTAGTAGCAAGAGCATGCTGGAACAATCTTTGAACAGAGAGAAACTTATCAAAAACTTTACATGTATCACACTGTGAAGTATGTGCAGTTAAAATTCCAAGAAAGAAACAAGCAATGTGATGACTTGAGAACTTCAATTAGCAAGTTTTTAATTCCACCTTTCTCCCCAAGTGAGAAGGTGGGAAACAAAAACAAATTTCACATACATGGTGTGCTGTGGTTTTAGGCCTATAAAAGAATATGACCTATGAAAGTGAATTTTTCCTAGAAAAAAATTATCCTACTGTTTCATTTCATCATGCTCATTAATGTGTTTAATTCTGTCCACAACTTCTAGTGGCTCCAAACAGTGTGAGTGAGTTTTCCTTGACTCCCTCCCCTTCCATGTTAGAATTCTCTTTTTCCCTCCATTGCCAGGTATGGTTTGAGAGATGGAGGAGTAGTTCTGTCCACTTTTCTATGGCTATGAAGAAAAAAAAGAGAGTTGCCCTGAAGATAGATTTGCCACCCTAGTTGACTAGGTTTTGCTCCTTCTTTTGAGATTTGATTAAATGTTTATTGCCAGTGTTCACTCCACCAAGCTGAGGTGTGTGTTATTCCTATGAAAAAATACTCTAAGCTTTGCACATATCTCCAACTTTTTCTTGGAGCTCCCATAATCCCCATGACCAAAACAGCCCTGGTTGTTTTTCTTGATTCTACTAAGACCCTCAGATCTTCATAGTGATAAGCCAAGGCTGCCAGTCTGAAAGGTTTACTTAAATTTTTTTCCTAGGGCTGGCTACTCTCATTGTTCATCTACT